TGGTTTTTTTTAATGATTGAGAAATATTATTAAAAAAAACAAAGACTATTCGATATTTTACAAATGTAAAATAATTTAGACATTCGACTGCTATTCAAGTTTTCATGCTTTTTTTTAATTAAATTATTTGATAGAGATATATGTTTGTGTTAATTAAATATTTTGTATTTTGGATGAAGTAGGTCTTATGAAAAATTTATTCATTCATGAAAATATTTACCTGTCAAATTTAATTTTGTAAATTTTTAAAAAGTCAAGAAAGAAAAAAAAACACATAATTGAGACAAGAACAATGTTATTATATTCTATAGGCAAACAACTATTTTTTAATGATAGAAAAAAAATTTTATATTCAAGTTGTCGTTTTTGTTTTTCTTTCATGATAAGAAAAGTGAGACGAATAAAATTCTCTTTTTTGTCTTGTCTCTTATCTTTCTATGTTGAATAAATTCTTTTTTTGTATTTGATTGATCTTTATTTTCATATGAAAAGTTATTAAATAATTAAGAGAACGATCATGAGACAATCGAGTGTCTCCTTTATTAACATTTTAATATAATCAATAAAAAATTCCTTTGAAAGAGATTTAGTCAATTTAAAAGATAAAATCTTCTCTTTTTTTCCTCCTATCAGTTTTTTCCCATTGTTCGAGAACGAAAAATAGTGTTACTTTCTTTTCGTTAGCATAATTTATTTTTGACTATACTTCGAAGAAAAAGTATTATTTTAATGTGGTTATATGGACATAATTGCAAAGAGATTTGTAGATTACATTATTATTATTTTTAAATCAATATTTCTTTTTTTTTTGATGAAATACAATCATTCTTTTTATTTATATGACACGTTTTTTTTCGATTGAATTGCCATTTTAATTTCAATCAGCAAAATTTCTTAAAATTTTAAAGATATTCAAGATTTACCAAAGATAATCACTGTATATCTACAAATATCTGTTTGCCTATTGTGACATTTTATGGGTATTAAAGTCATAAGTTTTCATCAAATATATTAAGCTTTATTTTCAAATGAGTTGAATTCAATAATCCGACATGATGATTATTTCTTGAGTTCTATTTGAATTTAACTATTTGATTTTCAACAATAGGTGATTATGTCAATAGTTCGAATATAGTACACAATTTCTAAATGTACATATTGAGTTAATCATACTGCTATTGAATAATAAATTATTGTCAATTACAGATCCAAGTATGAACAAACTTTCTTTTACAAAATAGTAATTCCATAACATGATACAAATGTTTGTATTTCTATTTCAGTTCTTGTAAAATATTTATATTAATTTTTATTATTACAAGATCATGGACAACTATCAATCGTGATAAAACAATCAGTTCTGATATATAAACTCCGAGCGGATCACTCTGCAATACTTTCGTTTAATTAATTATCGACTACCGAAATACTAGAACAAACACATCATATTCTTTCAAAATTTGTGCTTGTTATTGGTGAAACGCAGTGGTTATAGAATTGTTCCATCCAAAGTTTCCTTAATAATAATATAGATGATTCAAAACAACTTAGTACCAGCGGTATAATTTAATTTGAGACTTCATCAAATAAATCAACTAATTATATAATATGTATATGCATTAACGTGACAAGTAATAATTATAAGAATTTGAGGCGAATTGAAATTTAGACTTCTCATTGATTGAATAAGATTCTACAGAATAAGTGCCACGAAGTCTCTTTGACTATGTATTAGTGTAATATGGACTTGTAAGAAAGTGTATTTGTATATTGTGATAATTTCTTAGACTATTCAAATAAATGCCAGATGTTCGAAAATGTTTGCAACATCTTGTAGTTTTCTTGCTTGATAGATGGCTGTCATTTACTATATACTTCAGAATTATTTGAATATTAACAAAGTACTGAATCTAATGCTCTATATCTTAATCGACGCATAGTGTCTGACGTTGTTGTTCAGGTATTCATTTATTCATCAGAACGTTCTAGACTTCTCCTATCAACATAGTATTTCAGAGAATACTCTAAGCTCAGTACTCTGACTCGTTTTTTTTTCTTTTATTGATCAATTAAGATTCGTTTGACCTTGAAGCTCGTAAAGTTTTTTTTCAATAGGAAAGAAAAAAGACTCTTGTATAACCTTCAATACAAATGTCGAGTAGTGTCTATATACATATATTCAAGTATTTATATATATATGTCTGTACATTATTCATGTGTTTCTACACAACGACTGTCCATATAGTTATTATGCTGAATTCGACAGAATAAAACACATTCTATTTAGATGAATACTAAGTTACACGTCTATATCAGGTAAGGTCATATATTGAGTAAAAACAAATGCATCTGTTTATTCATTATTAAATCGCAATGTAATCAAGTTGAGCAAATCACTAAAAAAATATTATCCAAACGGAACACATCGAGTACAGATGAATATTATCAGGTTGCAGTTAATCAAAATGAAAAAGAACAACATACAATGAAATTTATATATTTATTTTTTACTCAGATCGATGATAAATTCTATTATTTATTTCTTCTTTCTCCGCTTTTGATAAACATGTGGAATTTTTTGCATGAATATGAAACAATTTTTTTTTGTAATTGCAAATGTTCTCCGTTTTAGTTTTCGTATTTCATCTGAAGCTGTTGAAGTCAGATGTATCTGTTTGTTGTTTCATATATTTTGTTCAAAGCTTGAAACAAAAATATATATAAGAACAACGAAAGGATATCATCTTATTAAGGTATAACAAAAACTGCACCTCGCGTAATAGTCAAGAAAAACGCAGAATCTGGAAAGAATAGGTTCAGAAGGATGTTGACTAGTGTATGTATAAGATGTTTATTCTATTAAAAGCAACGACACGTAATTATATCTATCGGTATGTATTCATATTGATGGTCAAGTACCGTTCTGAAAGCTCAATCAATGTACATAATGAAGATATATGGTCAATTAATCGATATATGAATAAATTCATGAGTCTATGCGAAATTAATATACAGCATTTTCTTGTTGCAACTTAAAGTGAATAGAATCACTTTATTATTCTAAAAACTCAATTCATCTTCGATTTAATTGACGCAACAAATTGAAAAGTTCAATTTGTAAAGAGAAATAAACCATTTGTTTCTAGATACATTCTACAGATATGACAGAAGTTTTTTCTTCTTATCAAACTTTATATCATTGTAAATTGGTCATTACATTGCCGTGAGGACGTCATTTTCAAACAGGTCATTCCAATGAAAGTTTCTTTAAATGTCGTTCCTTTTTTTACATTCATACAAAAACGAATGAACATTTTTTTGATGGTTCAAATGCATCATCAATCATCCTTAAAATCAATATATTTATCATTTTCATTTAATTATATAATGCTTTAATCAATAGTGAAAAACAATGAAATAAAATAATACAAATGGAAAATAAATCAACAGAATCAACCGACATATATTATTATGCTCTTATATGTCAATTATAATGATTAGAATCATATTTCTTTAAATTCTGAATATATCAAATCTTCCGATGTGATTCATACTGGACAAAAATCACCAGTAAATCTTAGATAGACGGTTTAGTGTTATGTGCACTATACGAGTAGTATTAGCCTATAGTAACAACTATTTGGTGTTAGATTAATCCTTGACTAGTCATTCTACCATGGTATACAATAATTGTTCTCTAACTTGAAATCTACTGACGATATCCTATCGATCCTGATGAACACGGCGACACTGTAAACAAACATGTGACATGGACGGCTATAATAGCATCTTCAGCAACACCAAAAGATTAGAAGATAACAGTTTATCATGATGAACCTAACGGATTCAACATAAAATTTTCTTGTAAACTTATTTTACTATAGTAGGATTTCATTTAAGACTTCTGAATTTATTTCTTCATTTTCTCTACAAATATTGAGTCGACTTTTTTCTCTTACTTCCTGAATTATATTTAGAAGTAAAAACAAAAGTGTCAAAGGAAGTAGTATAAAAAAAGAAAAAAAAAACAAATACACTCCATTCTCTTTCCATTCTTTATCTAAAAAACGTGACAATCTGATGTAGTGAAGCTATTTAGCATACATTTATATATAACACTAGTAGCATATTCAGATTATTCTTTTGATATCTATTTGAACTGAGTGTTTGAAAATGTCTCATTCAGGTGAATTAATTATATTAACAATCGGCTAACATAAATATGTATGTTTCCATTTAGAAGAAAATCATATTGCTTCAGAATGCCTTGGTTGTCATTCGAAACGAATTTCAATAGCTCTAATACCATGTGGGCACGCAGCTCTATGTGTTTCATGTGCACATTCAACGAATCGATGTCCGAAATGCCATAAGAAAGTTCAATTTCTTATGAAACTTTTCTTTTCTTAATCTTATTTGTTTTTCATAAATCAATTCTTGTTATCTGTAACATTGTGAAACTTATACTACGATAATAAACGAGAAATTGAATATTAATTCATTCATTATGTACACTTAGACTATTGTAATGTAAAAAAAATGATAAAGTTTCATAAATTTTGGTTGGAAAATACCAAGTTGGACAGTAAAAAAAATGCCAACTCAAAAAGACTATTATGATGCAATGACAATGAGTAAGCTGTCGTAGGTGTCATGGTGTATTCCAACCTATTGAAGTTTAATTTTTAAGTGAGTCATAATTAATCTTCGCTCTAATTGACGTCATCATCCTTCCCTATAAATAATAGTGAATATTTTCGATATTTGCTTTAAAAATAATTCTGTATCAGTCATTATTTGAGTACTCAGTGTGTTTAATAGTATCATCAAGCCAAAGAGATATTCCATTGAAATACTTTTCTTGAACTTTCATTAATACTTGATTTAATTACAATCTATTATTTTTCTCTGATGATTACGTATATTGAATGAATATTGAAATAATTGATTGCTTTTTGCAGTATATTATCGTTGACTGATCATCTAAACCAAAACATTTAATGGCGACAGCAACACAGCCTAGTTTGACTACCTATACAGGTAAATAAAACGTTGTTATTATATATTTGCAGTTTTGTTGTCACAATTCAAATCAAAAAACACAAATCAATTTAACAGTTAAATTGTACAAATAATTATTATTTACTATCGAACGCTTGTAAAAATCAAAATACTTATATTATATATAAGTCTAAAGTAAATGATCTTTATCTTTTCAAATATTCTTCAAACATTCATGAGTATCAAGATAAACAATTATTTTATTGATTGAATTCAATTCCTTGAAAAATGTTTTATATAAGAAATTTTCTAGAAGACTATATTATTGAGTAAAGTATTTGTAGATAAAGTTAATATTATTTGTCATTATAAATACATAAATAACTTGCTCTTTTCTACTGTAGATTATTGTTGAAAAGGTAAATGTTGTTCTTGAGGTGCGTTAATCCGCCTCTAAATTAGTCATATTTTAGTTGTTATGAATAAAAAATATTTCTTGTTAAACTTGTTGGAATTTTCCAACAAGTTGTTAAATTATGTTTGCTGTATAGGAGTTGCTGATAACTGTAAAAAACAAAGGATAAGTTAATTATTTTATATATTATTAATTGGTCTACTAGTTACTTTATAATTAACTCAATGTATAGTTTTCATTGAACATTTTCGACATAGTTTATCAATGTATGTTGAGTAAAATATTTATTTAAATATTTTTATTGTTAACTAGAAGACAATAATGGACATTATGTATTGTATGAGGCGAAATCATATCGACAAACACGTGAACGTACTTTTTTACAATGGCCATTAGGATTGTATCCATGTCGTCTGAAGATGAAAGAAGCGGGTTGGCTTATTGTCGGTAATGAAGATGGAGAATTAGTTGCTGTGTGCTTATATTGTAAAATAGGATGCAAAGGATGGAATTATCGGCATGACCCATATAAAGTTCATAAATATCTTTCTCCAAACTGTGTTTTTGTTTTATTTGCTTGTACAATTCAAACTCCATCATCACCTATTGTTGAATCAATGCCACGTCGTGAACAAGTTCGACCATCATCGCATCCTATGGCAATATTACCCGCAAGAAGAAACTCGTTTAGACAATGGCCACCTGCATCACTTCATCCATCATTTGATATTCTTGCTGATGCTGGTCTATTTTATAATGGTCATGGTACAATAATTGAATGTTTTTCTTGTCAAGGTCAATTATCTGTCGTTGGAATAAATGAAAATCCAATGACAGCACATGTTCATAGATGTAAATATGCTGTACATCTACGAGGTAGTTTGTTTTATTTCTTGTTAAATTTGTTCACATTATTTTTTCTTTTAAGATCAATCACAAAGAACTTCACTTCAGATACAACCTTCACATAAAGTTTATAAATTAGTTGAGAACACAGTGAATAATACAACTTTTTATTATTTACAATGTACATCTACTTCCATACCTCTTATAATTTTATCCGTTCTTATTTTTCTTCCAAATGGACAAGAATTAGAAACTTCAGATATGAATATTAAACGATTACATCCTAATAATCAACTGCAACTAAGTCAGTCTTTATTTAATAATAAATATATTTATTATTTTTGAAAATATTTTCTTCTTCTAGAAACTAATTGGGAGACAAGTTCTGATGGACCATTATTTAATATTCGTAGAGAATTTGCTCATAATCCTATTGATTTAAATACTATATCAGATGATTTAATGTATGTCACATAAATGTTTATTTTCTAATTAACTTGTATAATTTTCTTCATTAAGATGTTCAACAGAAGAATCTTCATCATTAAATATAGATAACTCTATTGATTCTGCATTTCAATGTAAGAGTTGTCTAACTGATCAAGCAACTCCTCATATTGTTTCGATGAGATGTCGTCATCTTGGACTTTGTTTTAAACAATGTTTTCCCAAATGGATGACTTGTGTTACATGTGGTTATGCACTGGGAAAGACAATACGTATATATGGTGCTTAAGACTAAATGATGATGCATAATTCATCATTTCAAAAATGACATCATCATATTTCAGAAATGCAACCTATAGTAGCAGACATAAGTTTAGAGCAGCTGTATTTTTTTCCGGCTTTCTTCTCGATAGTGATAGTCAGAAAGAAACTGAAAAAAAAACATTTGAGTAGCTGGAAATATCCAACAATCAGAATTAATGAGTCTAAAAAATTCTCAGAAAACTACTTGGATGATAATGTCCAGAAAGCCAAATCCTAGGAAACCAGTTTTCTGATATCCATTTGAACATTTTTTGGAAATAGTTTTATTTGATAGAGCAAATAGTTCTAAGCAAAATAAAATGTTCATGAAACACGGCGAAATCATCATATCTTTCAAGAAACAAAAGAACAAAATTTCAAGAGCTTTTTGTAAATTAAATTCAGTCCAATGAAGATATGTCATGGAAAGATAGGAGATGGCTCATTTTACTCAAAATTATTTGCTCTGCCATATACAATTATTTTCAAAAAGTTTCAAATAGATGTCAGAAAATTGCTGTTGAAAATCTTAGTTTTCTAGTCATCCTAATTCAAGTTGTTTCATTGAAATTTTTAGATCCATTAATCCTAATAGAGATTTTTTCAGCTACTCAAAAATTTACTTTCTAAATTCTTGCTAGCTATTACTATCGAGAAAAAACAACTCAAAAATACCACTGTTCAAAACTTTTGCTCATTACTATAGTTCGTATTTATTTTATTTTATTTTTTTGTTATAATTCAGAAAAAAAAGAAGAATTTGTTCATTTTGATGAATATTATCGCATATAAATGATCCAAATCAGTCATCGAATCGTTTCTTTGTCATTATTGAATCAAGATAAAAAAAAAAATTCTTTTTTTGTTCCAGATAAGTTTTTTATAAAATAAATGAAAAGAAAACATTCATAAATTTTATCGCTAGAAAAAAAAAAGTCAACATTAACATATGTTCATTTGAAACAAGAAAAAGTTTATAGTGAAACTTATTATTTAACCAATCAAGAAAATTTTTTCTAAATTCTTATTTTTTTAGCAAAAAAGTAAAATGCTGAGAAAAATCTTTATGATTTCACGGCTAAGTATTATAATGAGAACGTTGATTTTTAGTTTTTTTTAAGGAACATTTCATTAAGTAGTGTTTTTTTTTTGTGTGTTAATTTAAATTTAATCTTTAATAGATTGATGAACTGATAGAAATTAAAAACAATATAACTAAATATTATTAATTGATGTTTATTATTACAAGTCAAATGATATAATTATTTTTTTGTATTCATTAAGATATTCATTTAAGCAATTGTTTGAAGTTAATTTTACTATATATAAATCATTTAGTATAATTTATAATAAAGATATTGATTTATATTTGATGTATTCTTTTTTATCTTTATTGTTTTCATTTTGATGACTCTTATGACATCAAAATAAATCTTAAACTTGTTAGGGAATAGTTAATAATACTTTTTTTCTCTTTATCAGTTACAACATATGTTCAATTTGTACGTGCAATCATCTACATCAAATACTATAATGCATGTTGTTCATCATGTAGAGAAGTGAAATATGAGCTCTCGGTTGCTACCAACACCTCTAATCAACAAGCGTCGTTGACGTCGTTCTGTATATGTCACAATCCTCTTATCATCTACTTCATAAAATCCTACTACGTATGCACGTCTTGTCGTGTTCTCATTCATTTTTTTTTCTACTCTCTTATCGATAAAAAGAGAAGAGAGAGAACAATGAAATATCGTTTATCAATAGTCACATCATATACAAAGAAAGAAAAATAAAAAAAAAAAAAAAAAGAATCTGCTTCCGAATAATAAAAAAAAAGAAGAATAAGAGAATAAAGAAAACAAAACGAGTATGAACCAATTGAACAGTGTACTTGCACTATCACCAGGGGTGCTAATTGAGAAAGAGAAGAGAATAAGCGAAGAATTCAAAAAAGAGAAAGAAAAAACCCTCATTTTGAACAATTACTGGCGTCATCATCATTACTTACCTATCCGATTTCAATCTTTTTTTCTCGTTTGTTCTCTTATTTCTATATACATGACATACTGCCATTTCACTTTTTCTCTTTTTTTTTTGCTTCTTTGATGGTGTTCTGTTGAACATTCAAGCCAGGAAATAGTAAAAACATAGAAGAAGAGAAGCAACAAAAACAACAGCATCCACTTTTGAGGTCTCAAATGAGAGCATAGCATAGCATTAACGCCACAGTTGTGGCTGATGAAACCTATTCAACAACATCAAGGTATGTTATGGTAATATGTTAACAGCAACTATACCGTTCTCTTTTCTTTTTGTCAATGGTCAAATATTATCATACAAATCAGTACTCACAGTTACTCAGCTGCAGGAAAAGTTGTTGCTAAGAGCATATTGACGCATATCTTTATAGAGTTCACATCTTATCCATTGTCAAGTTTAGTCATAGAAATATGATAAGAACAGGAAGACAACTAATATTAATAGAAATGAACTGTATTTATTATTTCGTTAAGTCAACTATACAAATAAATCTAATCACAATGAAATAATTAGAGCAGAAAATCTCTTTTAGAGGAAATTCTTTTAAAAATATTCATTCATCTGTAAAATCGAAAATGTTCAGCTTTAATCAATATATAAATTAAGATAAGAGCTGCTTAAAACTTAGAAGTTTAACTACATATCACTTAAATTATTCTTTCATATGAAACCACTTATAAAAAAAATTACGACGAACGAAAACGACAGGAAATTAGATACCTTTTATTTTAAAATACTTCGTATTCTAAGTTATTTTATTTTGTCATTTCATTAGTTTCATGTTGTGTGCAATTTCTTTTTTTTCTTTTCTTTTCGTTTTTTTTTTAAATTATGATTAAACTAAACAATTTCAAATCGTTTGAAAAAATTAAAATAGACTTTGTTTATTAAAAACAGCAAGTGGTACAAACATATTGCACTTGATGTGAGTCTTTATATGTACGTATAGATGGATAGAGAAATGAGAGGTAGATTTGACGACGACAACAAATGTGCTCTATCGCAAACATACACTTTAACAACTCTAGTAACGAAAAACGAAAGAGAACGAAGGAGAGAACGAGTTCTTACAAATGCAGATATAAAAAAAAGTTACTTGACAATAAAACACTTTTCAACTATGTTTTTTTTATATATCCAATAGTACCATGAGAGAAAAAGACTATTTCTTTAGTTTTTTTTTCTCTTCTTCATTCTTTATATGACGATAATATCTACTTTTTTCTCGATGCATTTCTTTTCTTTTCCCTCTTCTGTCTCTCTCTCTCTCTCTCGTTTTCCCTTTTTCAATTTCCTTCTTTACACATGCATCCGTTTTTTTTTATCAATGTCATTTAGATCCAAGAATAACCGACATATCTTTGGATAATTTTACTGAATCTAAGCTTTTTATTGGTTCACAATCTAACAACGAAAATAAAAACGAATTCATGTTAACATCACCACGAACAAATGGTGCTGATAATTTTGTTCCTAGTCATAATTTATCATTGATTACTCAACCTATATTAGGTGCTCGATCACGATTAAGAAAAACAACAACAAATATTATTGTTGACACATCAACATCAACTAAAGAAAAACTTGATTCAATGACAAGTAGTCGTCGAAGTTCATATAATGATTCCCCACCATTAATTTTACCGATTAATCGGGTAAAGTTCAAATTTGAAAAATGAAAAGAAAAAAGAAAAAGCATAATTCATCTTTTTGCATTAGATTGACACATTGCAATATCAAAAGAAAACTAATTTTAATAATCATCAAGAATCATCGGATTCAGGTCTTGATTTATCCTTATCAACAAATTCATCTGTTCAATTTCCACAATATTCTCAACAACATGTTCCAATTCATCGTCCATTAAGTGCCCTTAATGAAGATTCAAGTCCTGATGATGGATATCATGATGAACATCAACAAGAATCAATTGATGTTATTCGTTTTCGATGTCCACCGATTAATTTTGGACGAAATCGTTCAATGGAAGATATGCTTAGTAATAATACACGTGAAGAACAACAACATCGTTCAAGTTCATTTTCTGATGAACGACAACAAAAATTATCTTTACAACAAGAGAAAAAAATGAAACGATCAAGTGATGGTGCTCTTTTAGATATACTTGATACATCACCAGAATCAACAGAGCCTTATACACGAACAAACACAAATAAAAATGAACTTTTATATCCTCCTAATATTCAACAACATCGATCATTAAATGATCTAACTAATAAACTTTCATCAAAAGGTAAAATAAATTAATCAATCATTTTAATATGTTCACTTTCTCGAAATGCAAATATAATATAATATTTAAAAGATCCTATTCAATCATTTCAATGAATATATTAGATTTCTTATGATTATTAAAGAATTTAGGTAGATTATTTAATAAAAAAAAAAAACGTATTGAATCATTTTTATCACGTGATACATTAGTCTTATCAGTAAAAGTTAAAAAGGTGTTTATGCTGTTAAGTTCTATATAACTTAGAAACAAAAAGTTAAGATAACCAAATAATAATATATATTCTCTTGTTTTTTTGTTATGTCCTTAAATTTATTTTAGTTTTAGCTACCCGCAATGAATCAAATATACCAACAATTAATAATAACTTATCAACAACACATACGATTATTCGAAAACCAAATACATCAACATTAAAACCATTAAGAAAAAAAACAAAATTAAATATGCTCATTGAACCATCGGCACCATTGACATCATCACGTCTTACTAGTTATGACGAACAAATTAATGCAATGACAGGAGCAACAAGTAGTTCAAGTAATCAAACAACACCTCGTTCAATACGTCCATTAGCTCAACAACAACAACAACAACAACAACAACAACAACAACAGCAACACCAGCAGCAGCATAAATCAAAAGCAATGACACAATTAGCTCATTATCCAAATCAAGAACAAATAAGAGCACATGTTAATCGATCTGTTATTGAAAGACAACATCCAATAAATTTAGTAATACCTGTACGTCCAGGTGTTATACAACAAAGAATACCATTTGATGCTTCTCCATCCAAAGTTAATAATCTTCTATTAAGATATCATGGTCATCAACCTCAACCATCTACAACATACCATTCAAGTAAGACAATCTTCATTAATGTCATATAGAAATAAATAATTCACGAAAAAAAATTTTTTTTTATCTTGAAAGTAATTAAAAGCTTTTATATTTTGATTCATGTTTTAATAGACACAGATCTATCGATCTATTTAAGTTAAAAAAAAAACTAATTTTTTAAATAACATAAATAAATAAAATGGAAGAATATTGAAAGAGTAAGAATCATCAAAAGAAATATGAATAGGTGCTCATTGACTTTCTGCCTGAAGAGTTGCATGCATCGTATGCATTTCAATAAATAACGAATACTCATAAAAGAAACGAGTCAAGTCTTTCTTCCAAGGTCTTCATACTCTAAAATTTTTAATTTACATCACTATGTTTCTATAAATATTAACTGACTAAAATAAAAAAAAGAAATGTATTTGAGTCTATATTAAGAATCCATAAGAGAAATACAAACAATATATTTTTATTTGTCTTTAGTAATTGATATTTATCAGTTAAGTCTTAAGTATGTTCTTATTTTTTAAAGGTTCAAATACACAAACGTCACCAACTCGACTAATAAAACAAACTTTACCAACATTGTATAATGATGAAACCATTGGTAATATTCATGACGAAAAAAGAAAACAAAAAGAACAAATAAAAATTCAAAAACTTAAAGAATACGATGAAAAAAAACGTGTAAAACAAAAAGAAGAATATGAAAATAATAAATCAAATGAAATCTATCAAAAAGAACAAAAAAGAATCAAAAGTAAATATTTTTATTTTAAATATTTCATTCTTCTTTATCATTTTATCTTATCAAAATAAACAAATATTTTTGAAATTAATTTAAATTAATTATTTTTTTTTTTCATTTTAAATCAAAGATATTCAAGGACCAAATTCATTAAAATATGTTTATAAACGTGAAAGTTCACAAGATCAAGTTGAACAAGCTCATACTCAACGACATTTCATTGGTTCGGTTCAAAGACAACAAGAAAAAGAATTATCATTTGAAAAAATTCAACAACGAAACAAATTTGTTAAGACTCGAATACCCGACGAATATGAGAATATTGATGAAAAACAACATACAGATAATATTTTTACAAATACACCTCGTCGTCAATATGAACATCAAATTGATACGAGACAACAACGATCAACTAATAATGATTCAAATCGAAATACCATTCCTGACAAATACGAGTCTGTTCAATCAACTAATACAACAGGTAAAGTACAAGATGCTAATAACTTTTATCGACGACAACAACGAAATGTTGGTTATGTTGATGATCCTATTCACATAAATCAATCGAATGAAATTGATCGAGAAAAAGGTGGAAAACAACAAAATCATGGATCACAACCAACAGGACTTATTGTTCGAAATAAAAAAGATAGCAATGAGAAAAATTTCAAGTATGATAATATATTTTTCAAGAACAAAATTTTTACTAATTAACTTTTCTTTCTATTTAGTCGAACAACAGAGATAAATAGTCAATATGGACCTGATCATTTACATGGTACACAAAAAACACCTATTTCTACATTACAATCTCGCCCATCAAAAGTTCAATTTCAACCATTCGAAAATCCCACAAATCGTAATCCTTCAAATGAAACTCATATTGATCAAAATCGACAATCAAATCAATGGCGAAATTCCACACATGAAAACCATCATTATCCATGGCATAAATCTCAAGCTGGATCAATATTAAAAACTACTCGAATCCAACCAATTCAACCAAAAAATACAAATATTTATGATTCAAAACGAGAAAGAGAAACAAGTCAATTGAGTATTATATCAAAAGGAGATTCAATAAAATCTGATGAAAAAAAATTAAAACCAAAAATTGTTGGTAAAAACTCCACTAATAATTTTCAATTAAAATCACCAACATCATGGTCAATTATATCTGAACATGATAATGATCAACAACAATTTGAACCTTATGAAAAAAAAAAAACTTATCAATCTGAATCATCACCATCACCGTCCTCTCATGATGAATTGATTGAAGATAATTCTAATACACCTCCTCGTACTTATCGTTTAATGAATAATAATCAACAGAAACTTCATGATGGAAGATATATTATTCCATCTAATAAGTATGTTTATCAATCTTTTGTTTAGAATCAAAAAAACAAAAATTTCATTATTTATTTGTTTTGTTTTTTTTTGTTTTTATTAGTTTACAAACTTCTTCAATTATTGGTCCTTCTTCTTCTCATTCATCATCTTGTCATACACATCCATTTACATTAACACATAATTTTGAAAATAACAATGATATTTTTATTGATACTAATTTACAATCAATAACAAACATAAAAAATACTTCTCATGTACCTGATGTTTATGTTTTATCTGATCGTGAAAGTACACAAAATACAATTGATCGAGAAAATTCTTCATCGTCTTTGGTGCATATGTCTTCAAATAAAAAAGTTTATTCACCACATGAAAACTTAATTCTATCAACAGAACAAGATGAAATAGTATCAAATTATGACAGTGATGATGGTTGGAGTGATGATTCAGCTGAACTTTTATATGTTGATGAACGATATGCAACAGAAAAGACGAAGATTAATTCATCTTCACATCTACCTTCACAACAACCTTATCATTATCAAGTTCAACAACAAAATGTGCTTCTTCAAGAGTAATCTCGTCTCGTTTCCTTGTGTGCTTTATATCTTTGTTTTCTTTTTCTTTTGTGAATAATTTATAATCAGAAAAAAAGAACAAGTTTTTTTTTTGTGACAAAACATCAATTTTGAGAAAATATAGTATTTAATCAATTTAAATTTGTATAATAAAAATTTTTCTTCTGGGTTTTTTTCTAGCTTTGCACTGTCATTCGAGTATTAATTTGTATGATTAGTTTTCGAATGATTTGCAGAAAAAAAAGAATCTATAAACTTAATTAGCAATTTGTTATTATTTCAAAACATTGTTGCGGTTTATAATGTAGGTCTTAATTATTCTTACCTTCTATGTTTTTTTTTGGTTTTCATGATAGACTATGAGGATAATCTTCTATAAGAAGTTCTATTTGACAAGCGGCTTAAAAGATATACTACGTAAAATTCTAATTGACCCGATTCTTTCCACAACAGATGATCTGTCACCCGACGGTCTGTTTTCTGGGGACTTCTCTCAATCCTATTCACCTCACAACGGCATTGCCAGCTTATTTTTATTTCATATTTTGGCAGAGATAGGTAATCACGTTTTAAAACCCACTTCTGTCCAAAGTTACCACGAAACTGTAAAAAATTGACTGAAAGTTGCGCATTGAGAAGAGGAAGGAAGCTTTCTCTCCTAATCGACAACTCTGCTTAAATACCACTTTGACCATAGAATTCATTTCTGATTCGTATCTTTAAAATCATATCTAAGTTTTATATTCTAAAGTTGTAAACCAAAAAATATAAAAGAATGGAAAAAAAATCATCCAATACTGTTTACAATTTTCTTTATAAATGATTTCGAAATCAATTCATGTTGAACGTACCATTTCGTTTCAAAACATTACACTAAAATTAGTACTAATGTCTCATTTTGCGATATTCTTGAGGTTTTTATCTTAACTGAAACAAAAACTTCATTGATATATTTAGAAGTAGATTAAATATCAAGCCAAGCAGTGTTTTATCCAGTGGGGGCATGGGACATTTTGCCCCCTCCCCCCGGAGACCGCGTTTGCCCCCTCGAGAAAAATGAAATATGTCTTAAAAAAAACAATATAATCGTTCTAAAACTTTTTTTTACGGCAGATTTTGGGAATTGTTAATAAATCTAATGTTGTTAAAATAGAATCAGTATTTTATCTAGCGTGGGGATAGGATGGACTACACTCTCCCGGAGATTGTGTTGACTCCCTCCGAAATAATTTGAAATATTTTTCAGAAAGAAAAAAAGGTCAGTACAGCTTTTCTACAACTTTTCGTTCGATGAAAATTTGCACCAAATGTCATGTGACCAAAAATGAACAAAATCATTTACTGTAATAGAAAAATATCACATACAATATTGCAATGAAAAATAAATACCGAAAAAAGTAGTATTCTCCATAAATTATGACTCTCAATAATTATAGTTTGTTGTTTTTGGTATATCTCTACTAGTCTAGAGTTTTAACCAGTTGCAATGGTGGCGAGCAGTACCTATTATTGATTAATTAAAAGGACTCTATAAAGGACTGTTATGTGACTAAAAACCTATTGTCATAGCTGCAACTGCTGCAGTTTCAATAGGCTTGAGTCACTTATAATTCGCCATATGCGTGTTTTATTTAGCACCGATTTAGGAGGAAGACCGACATGCCATAACAATTGTGATTCAACTCATATCGTACGAGCCGATCGAAAATCGTCGGTTAATTCCGGTTACTTCTGTGACCGACAGTTAACCGTGATCATTTCCTTTGCTCTCAATGTTTCACAGCGTAAAAAATAACGGTTAACCACGGTTAACCTCCTGGTTGACCGAAGAAATATCGATCAGAACTGTTAACTTTTTCGGTCAACCAGGAGGTCCGCCGTGGTTAACCGTTGGTTTTTACGCTGTGAAACCTCCAAAACAAAGGAAATAATTGCGGTTAACCGTGGGTCACAAAAGTAACCAGAATTAACGGATGATTTTCGATCGGTTCGTATGGCACGGGAACCTCGTGATGAAACTAGTATTTTACTTGTCTATTCTTTGATTTATGTTTGATCTCCATTCGAAAATCAGTGTCATTCTATACTATAATGTATTTCTATTTCTGGGCAGAATTTTTCAAAACAAAAGTTCTAGACTACTGTTCACATCCATATTTTTTTCAACATTTTTCTGTTGAACTTTTTCCGGTCAAACACGTATTTTGGTGAATATAATTCAATGACAATGCTTTAGTAATTTGAATCAGCGTCGAACTTTCTCGTTGTACATCACTATTTCGAAATTTTTCAACGGTGCAGGAATTTTCTGTTTAAAAGTTGAGAAGAGGAGTATTTCTATCGTTACTGCCTATTTTATCTTTCGGAAAATATCAAGATAAGAAAATCGCCTTAAGGGCTCCCTCAGAAATCAACTTCGTTATTTTCCATCCGATTTCAACCAAAATTTCAGAGAATGTTAGTCTAGGTTAGGATAGAGTTAGAATGTTAGCTTGCCTTTCTTTATTGGAAAAACACGAAGTATATATAGGAAGGGAAAATTGGACTAGTCAGGGAAGAAGTTGAGTTTCTTCGTCTGATTGAAAATGAACAACAAGTAGAGTTACAACAAAAGACGTCAGTGAAGAAGAATAGGTCAGACGGGTAAGAACATATAGTAACAACTGAAGAAAAAGAAATATGAAATCATCCATATATCCTAACACCTCCTTCCCTACAACAGATGAGCGCATCATCTGCTTATCGACCAAAAAAAGCTTATGAGAAGATAAACAACAAAACAAAACAAAACAAAAGAAAACAAAACTTGCACAAATGTAAGGAAGATAAAACGCACGAAGAAAAATGAAACCGCCCAATAGAGAAACAAAATGTGTTCATCCATATTCGACGATCGATTCGTGTTGATATTGTAAAATCTGACATTCGTAATAAACGTGAATGAATCATAAACTGCCACCTGTGAATAATGATTCCATGAAGATCCATAAATATTTTCATCGAAAACAAAATAGTTCGATGAGTCGTAATAGAATTGGTGAAGAAAAAAAAAATCGATCGCATACAAGTATGATAAGGAATAGAAAAGACTTGTTGACGACCAGTTAAAACTGTGATTTCAGATATAACGAATAAACCAGAATAAAAACCATGTGTGAAACCATTTATTGCCCGTTCCATATCTATGCCAGACGACATTAATAAAAATTAGAAGTCGACTCGCATGGTAAGAATTGGGTAGTTCAAAATCCATAATATATGTTTGTGATGAACCACGGTTGATCCTATAACAAGATTCGCCGTAGATTGTAGTTGACTCTTTGTGTGTTGAATCATTAAGATCATAAGAATAAGGATAGCGTTATTTGTTTGTATATGACGTTGATTATTATCATGTTTATTTGTTGTCACTGTTGTTGATAAAGTTTGTTTGCTTGATTCGATGGTCGATTCAAATATATGTCGAGACGATGAAAGACATTGACCAAAATATTGAATGTTATTAAGTAATTGACTTCCATCACGTTTTGATTGAAGACGTTCATCTAATTGTGAAAATGTAGAATCATTTCTTTCTTTAGTTTCATCAAGTTCTGTGCGCAATGCATCGATTTGAATATGTTTTTCTGCAAGTTTACTATATAGAGATTCTTCATATTGATGTTGTTCGGATATTTTTTCTTGTTCAAGTCGTTCAATTTCTTGCCTAAATTTATTCTTTTGAGATTGATATTGAATTTGTAAATGATCAATTTGTTTTTTATATTCTTCAATTTCTTTAGTTAATTGTTGTTGTAAATCATTATATTCATGTTCTTTTTGTTGATTTAAATCAATTGTTTGTTTTAATTGATAGATTTCTTTTTCAAATTGTTCATTATCAGTTTCAAGTTGTGCAATGCGACGTTTATATTGATCGATTTCATGTAAATATGATGTTTGACTTTCATTTAATTGTTCATGAAGTATTTCTTCGATACGTTTTAAGTCTTTTTCCACATTTGGAAGAGACTGTGCTAATTGTTCATTATATCGAATTAAAGCTTCTTTTTCTTTTTGGGCTTCTTTATCTAATAATTCATTACGATGTGCTTGTTTTTCCAAATTAGCATTATCAATTGATAATTTTTTAATTTGTTCACCTAATACTTGGATTTTAACATTTGTTGAAGCTCCAGTATTAATTAAATGAATATTTTCTTCTGTAAGACGTTTTAATTGTAATTCAAGTGTTTGAATATATTCTTGTTGTTGAAGTTGATTTACTTGTGTTGGTTCATGTTTATGTTGAACAGAATGTAATTGAGCATGAAGAATTTGAGCTGATTCCGTTTTATTTTTATTACGTTGACGAGCTTTCGATGATGGTTCAACAACTGATTGTTGTGGATTTAACTGTGTTGAATCTTCTTTATTGGAACATCTAGGACAAATGAATGTTTCTAATTGCAGCTGGATCTTCTCCTCAATTGCTGCATGTAAGCAGCTAATACAAATTGTATGCGAACATGCGGTAATTGTATAATGATACCTGTATATACAATCAAAACAAGACGTGTTTGATTGATCGATCCGGTGAGTCATACTGCTTTGGTGATACATTCGACGATTGACGTAATTTTCTTTTTTTTCTAAATGCTTCTTCGTCTTCTTCTTCGGTGGTAAAAGTGAAGAAATCTGGACACGGCACCAAATGTTGATTAATAATAAGGCTATTGTCGGGTCCGTTAGTTTGTCGAAGATTGTAAGTCGATAAACTTGGCTAGTGCACCAGTTAGAATGTTAGCTTGCCTTTCTTTATTGGAAAAACACGAAGTATATATAGGAAGGGAAAATTGGACTAGTCAGGGAAGAAGTTGAGTTTCTTCGTCTGATTGAAAATGAACAACAAGTAGAGTTACAACAAAAGACGTCAGTGAAGAAGAATAGGTCAGACGGGTAAGAACATATAGTAACAACTGAAGAAAAAGAAATATGAAATCATCCATATATCCTAACAGATAGATTACGGTTAAAATATCTCCCCCAAATCTCAAAGATATGCACAAGTTCTAGTCGATTCATTGGTTAAAAATACCCTTTACGCTGGCAAGGTTTTCAACATGAGGATATTAGCTAAGCATGTCAGCGTGGTTTTTAAATTGTAGAGTACCCTTAGGGCTAGATCCTAATAGAGTCTGATTTTTGAATTTCCCTTCGTTTGTTTTTTAAAAAACGCTTTTCGAAAAATTCTCGAATTCATGGTCAAAAAAGTCGCTAAACAAAACGAAAGATTCAAGTTTTTTATTTCAGCAGAAGAGAAATTCAAAAATCGGACTCTATTAGGATCTAGCCCACTTGTTCTCTATGCAATAAGAAAAAATTATCCCTTCCCTATTGAGTCGTTATTAAGATAGGCGTGCCCGCTTAAACGGTACACTCGAAAAAACTGATTTTGAGAAAAACGGAAAATAAGTTGTTAAAAGCCTTATTTTTTCCAATATGAAGGTTCAGAAAAACTTATGTAATATTCTTAAAGCTCATCATAAAATCAATCAACTATAGTGCATTCGAGAGTAGACACTTTGCTCTATCTAATGAGTTATAAATCACAAAATCGATAAATTTGACCAAAATTGATTTTTTTGAGGGGGCCCTTAAAAAACTCTCAACTACGAAAACTTTCGCTTGCCCCCCCCCCCCCCCCCCTTCCGAGAACTAAATTCGCCCTCCCGGAGCAAAAAACCTGGATAAAACACTGACTACCATGAAAATAATCTAATTGTAAAATAGTTCTTAAAACACTCTTGATTATAGATGTGACAGTAACATTTTTTAATGATAACTTGGGTCATTTTTAACTTGATCACAGTGAGTAACATGAAAAGATAATTTTTCTACAGTTATTTTATTTTCGATATGAACTCGGACAATAACATGATCTTCCTGTTGGAAACTTTATTAGAGCTAATAAACAGTCAAAAAGCATTCTACGATCGTTCGTTAATAACTTTTTATGGATAAAAAAGACAAAAACTAGCAGCTTCTGTTATGACCTTCCTTCTGAATGAAGTCTCAGCAATACGGTCGGATAATTTCAAATCGGAATCAGAACGAACAATTTCGACACGATCCTGCAAATGAAAGGTTTGATTTCGACCTGAGAATAGATGCCTTTGTAGGTGTCTAATCATAAATCATTCTCTGAAATGACTCATTTTTCAAAAAGTAATCTAGAATAAGTATAGATTTCGAGCTTTATACAGATATAATAACAACATAAGTACGAAAAGTCCTAAAAAGTCAAAACAGCAATAAATTCACTTTTTATGTCAACCTAGATGAATGAGTCATTTGTGACTCGTTCTGCATCTGCATATTGAAATAACTTTGCCTTAATTTAAGCCTTTGGGGACGATGTTACAAGGGTTGTACCATCTGTTTTCTTAATAAAACGTTAGGCTTGGAGGGTATGGGTGTGGAGTACAGTTGTGAATGTCGGCTTGGGTGTGTCTTGTCGTCTCATGAACATCCCATCTAGACCTGGAGAGTCACATCCACAACCCAAAAGAACTACAAGTTAGATCTAGCATCGAATACTAAACTTGCCAATAAGCATTCTGTGTAAAAGATGAGAAAAATTATTTTTTTTTGATTATCATATGGATTTTGTAATCATTTGAACCAAATAATATAAATTCGTTACAAAAACATTTTTTGAATGAAAAAAAGAAAATTCTGTCCTCAAAAGTTTAACTGTATCAATGTCATATTTAGCAACTATTGAAGCTTTTCTCATGGTTGACCCAGCACGCACTCTATGAGATAAGCGCTAGGAGATAAAGAGTTAATCTAAACATTTTACAAAATCAACGTGTTGTGTGATAATGCTGCATGAAACACAGGCCATACTGGTTACATTCGTATTATTCTTCGACAAAATCATTTGACGACGTGTAAGAGTCATACAAATGACGTTCTTTTTTCTATCAAGTATCAATTACTCTCTCTCTATATATATATATATGGGTATGTCTTATGTTTCAGAATAATAAGTAACTATGGATAAGAAAGATGTTCATTCAATTTGCAAATGTCAAAAAGAGAATAAACATCGTAGTTCGAGATTTTTCGAATGTATTCAATTGCTTGCCGCATTTTTGGTACCTATTGCCATTGCTGTTTATACATTTGTACAAAATGATAATGATCAAGCCATTGCATTAGCCAATAGAGAAAAAGATTTGGAAATAGCTCAAAATCAGCGAGCACAAGATTTACAGATAGCTGAAGATCAACAAAAAGCAAATATTCTTGCCGCTTATGAAACTTTTCTGGTTGATCATTTAAATCGTTATGGTATGACACTCAATGGAAGTACATCAGCTAGATTTGTAGCTCGATTCAAGACGTTAACAGCCGTTAATCAACTAGATCGAAATCGTAAAACATATCTTATTCGATCACTCTTTGAAGCTAAATTAATTGTGAATGATTATAATTCAAATGATCCTAAAGGTTCAGGTATAATTTCATTGGAAGATGCTGATCTCAGTGAAATTTCATTGGCACATCGTACGCTCAAATATTTATCATTACCTAAAACGAATCTTACACGATCATTATTTGCTGATGCAGATCTCTCATGTGTTAATTTCTACTCGACTATTCTTATAGATAGTGATTTTAGTAATGCATATATTTTAGAAATAAAAAATTGTTTTCTCAAATCTAATGAATATAATCGTACAATTTTTACTGAAGCAATAATGAATAATACCAATCTTTTTCATGCTGATTTTATTTTTACTGATTTTACACAAGCAATTCTTGTTCATGCTAATATGCGTTATTTCATTTGTATTGTATGTTTATTTGTTAATACAAATATGTTTCGTGCAGATTTGAGCTTCTCTAGAATGGCAATGCATTGTAATTTTCAATTGACCAATCTAACGGAAACTGTACTTCTATCAGCTTCGTTCAGTGAAGTAATATTTATTGAGACAATATTTACTCGTATTCAAACAACAGAAATTCGATTTGAGCAATGTTCTTTTTCATCAATAAATTTTACCAATTGTACATTTGATAGATCATTGATTGTTCAATCAAACTTTTCTAATATATATTTTAATAATGTTAACTTAAGAGAATCTATTATAAAAAATGTTCATTTTATAAATATTTCAATGCAAAATACTAATCTGAGCAGTACAATATTCAATCAATGTATATTTATTAATGTTGATTTCAATGATGCCATATTAACAAATGTTACGTTTCACAAATGTATATTTCAATCAAGTTTAATTAGAAATAAACAAAATTTACAAGTGACATCATTCAATGGAAGTATTTTTTCTTAAGCCATTACTTTTAATCATGATAAACAAGAAAAAAACAAGAGTAGACATTTAATATGATTTGAATGATGTTATATGTTGAAAATAAATATCCATTGAAGGACATACACTGATAAATGAAATATTCAAATTAAGAGTAATATAATCATCATTTAAATATAAATATCAAGAAACTTTATCTTATATTGATTTTCAATGTATTCACTATTCACTCACAACTATTATATGATCTATGAGATTTCATGTAAATTCTTTTTCGTTATCATATTCTCATATTTAAATCAATTTGCGTTTTGATTTTCATGCATATCATTATGTTCGCTTATGAGTATTTTTCTTTCATGATAAAAATTTAAACGGAAAATCGATTGATTAAAATAATTTACCAGAATATTTTTGAAACAAACTGAATATTCAATGCATAGAGAAAACAAAGAAATTATTTTCTTCTAATACAAGTTAATGATTTACGAATGTTCAAATAATAATAGGAAAATGAAAATAATCGATATCCCTCTTTCAATAATTTGATTATCAAATATGCTGAAATGTATGATTTTTAAAAGATTTCATAAAAAATTGATCTAAAATACGTTAGACATTATTTATTCGAGTACGAATTAATAATCTATTATAAGAAGCAGAGTTTTACTGAAAAAATATCTAATATTTAGTTTACTGTATTGTATTTATTGAGTTTTTGTTCGATCTGATAAGTTGATTAATTTGCAATAGAGATTGAGAGAAAGTATAGATTAATATGAATTCTCATATTGAAGTCTTTTTATCTTCCAGCTAGACTCTTATGCATAGAAGAGTTATAATATGATGTTTGTTCTCTGTGATTGCCATATTCTAATGGTTCGGTCTTCTGATGTTGTTCAAAATCGCACGAAATCGATCAACAGTCAATAAACTGAAATTACTAAAATTAACTACGATATCACTTCTGACTTCAATGTCAATCTGAAGTAGATTTGAAGCAAGACCAAATAGAGAGAATATGAGTTTTATCATCATATCAAAGTAATTTTATGAAATTCAATTTCATAACAAACAATAACCATGGTCGAAGATTAACAAACTACTGTATTCATGCCAACTACATAATTACTATATAATAACTCTTAAAAAAGCTAGTTGTTGGCAAAAATAAATTGCACAGCTGATAGATCTTATTTATTCATATTTCATGTCATTATTCGAGTGCTAAAATGAAATGATAAAATATCTTTATCAAGTCATGAATTGATTTTTTAAAAGTTTCCTAACAGTTCTTCTGATGATAATTCCCTAAAAACTTGTTATAACAAATCATCAGGGTATAACTATGAAGACAAGAAATTTTCAGATTATTATGTTTTTAATTATTACAATATAATGTTGTCTATAATTAAAATTCAATTGAAATACTAACGATGAATCGATAGAACAAAATTCGACAAGCTAAATATACTTCTTTAGAGTGACTTAAAATAACAAATCAACATTCTTTTCTATTTTTAGCTCTTTCTTTTGACATAACAACGCATTTTATTTATATAAATATAGGAAAAAAAAACGAAATCGTTGTGCTGTAATAACACCAAAAAGTTAATCAATTTCTTTCTTTTTCTATTTTTATTGACACAATTTTTATTACATTTTAACAAATAGCAACGTTATATGTAATATTAAAATGTAATTTTTGTCATTTATTTGTTGACAAACTAAAGAAAAACAAATAAAATAATATTTGTTTCACCCGTAATGAAGGTTGCTTTTATGAAGAATTGAAATAAAGATTACAATAAAAGTATCCAAATGAATTATTTTTTATGGCATTCTGACAAAAAATTCATATTCCTAGATATTAACAAAGCAATAGCTTCAACTGATTAATTGTTTTCTAACCCAAACTTAGTGGATTGTTGGTTATAGATTATGCTGATTCTCAGTATGAACATGAAAAGTCTCCTTAGATTTGTAGGTATTCGTTTTCTAGAAAACCAAGTTTTTAGAGTAATGAAAATTGTATGAGTTTAAATAGTTGTCTTTTCTTCAGAAAGAGACATGATTGAAAATTAAAAAAAAGTTATTGCTATCTAAATTATTCGATAAGTTCTATACTCTGAATAGATCAGGAAAAAGTTGATTAGACTGAAAAACTCGCTTATGAAGACCTAATGTGATTTCTTATGTTTATATTTGGTATCAACATCCTTTTCGTCACAAGAGCAATTGATTAGATTAACCATTTTAAAAATGATCCTTTTGTGACTGATGGTTTTGTAGAAATTCATATCTTAGTCAATGTCAATGGAAAGTTTGTTTTAATTATGTAACCATACCTTGAAAACATAGCATGACTCTTGAGAAAAATGTAGAGCATTAATAAGCATGCTTATTAAGATCAACAAAGAATATCTTCATTAAAAAGATTAACTGTAGAATCAAGAACTAATCTGTTAACTAGACAAACAAAAAGTGTTGAAAACGTGTGTAAACACACAGAAAAGTATAAAAAATGACTATTTTTCCTGCTTTCTTATGCGTTTACATGCGCGTTTTTTTGTCGATTTTGATAGAAAAAAGTGTGTAAACGGATAAAACTAAGTTTAGGCAATATGTGATTGTTTGGAAGATGATAATACATCAATAAGCTATCACTAGACAATTCAAACAAATCACAAGGCACTAAGAATGCAACAATAGATCACTAACTCTCCTGTGAATATTCATGAATTATCATCCAAGCAGCCACCTATTGCCAAAAACCTTTATAAATGCACAAAGAGCGAAAAAAATGAACTTTTTCTCACAATCGTAGTTTCTGCCGGTGACAGAAAAATGACCATTTTTTGTCTCATTTTCATCTGTTTACACGTGTTTTCAAAAATTTTGTCTACCTGGATAGTGGCATAGCAATGATTGATAAATCCTGTAATATTAAATTTGTTCTTATCAACGATCTTCAAATTACTTCACTTATTAGCTCTATGAAACAATCGATTTCTACAACTCGACCAGCAAGTTCACGGAGATTTTTGTTGCATACGATCTCGAACAAGTGTACTAGTACTGATGAATCTTCTTTTATTTTTTATTTTATTGTCAAAACATTGTCAACTAATGTTATCACAACAGCTAATATATGGATTACTTCTATGACATGCAGATTATCTGATACCAATAATCTTCTTCTTGAACATTATTTGCAATAGAACAGAGAGCTTTTATCTCAAAAGTAAAAATGATATTTATAGTAGAGATTATATCTAGCAAAATATTCACAAAGATCATATAATCAATGGAAACCGAAAAGAAAAACTTCATACATATTTGATGAACTCTTTTTGTAAAAAAAGAAAAATTTTACCAAGTATTTCATTCTATATTTTAATTGTGACTGTAGAAAAGGAAAAGTAATTATAGTTCTTTAAATTAAAATAAGCGTGAGAAACTATTGTCATCAACCGACAAATTGTTTTCAGGTAAACTGGCAAGAAGTAATTTCTACGATAGTAAAATATGTAATTAAAAGTTTATTTTAGAACATGAACATGATATTTAAAGTTGCTGACGTCAGATTAGAAGACGTCAACTTTCATTATAATAGCATTTTCATATAAGATTTTTTTCACATGATTATTTACAGAAAATTTTTCTTTAATAGATATGTTAATTAATTCTATGATGTCTATTAGAGACAAAAAATATACTACACTGAAATATTTTTTTGCATATATCTGCAACGAAAACAGTTATCGATGTAAGATTTGCAGCATTCGAAATAGCAATACGAACAAAATATACAAATACCACAATATTTAAACCTGCAAACGACTAATGAATCTCCGAAAAGCTAAACTTTCGGATTAAAAGACTTTGCATTTGATTTTGACCTAAAATAGTGCCGTTGGATTCAGAGAACTGCTTCTGTTCAATCTATACAAACCCTATGTGTTTAGCTAGATCAGTTATAGATCTATCAAGGTTTTCCAGAGATTCCTGATTTTTGTCAATGGCTCTTTCATCACTTGTACAGAGGTCAAGACAGAAATAATTCAATTCACATAGTCCAATACTGATCTTTATTCGCATTTTCAAAATGATCTAAAGCCACTATATCAGGATTTTTGAAATATCAACCCGTCATGCTGTAGAACAGGAAAATTTGAATTTTTCAAAATCTTAATATAGTGACTTTAGATCACTTTGAACTAGAAAGCAAACGTCAATACTGAGGTAAGTGTAATGAAATAACTGTGTCTTGACCTATCTGATGGAGTAGATGATATTGACTGATTCAGAATAAATGGATCAGGTTTTTCCTATCTATAATTTTCATAATAGATTTTAATTTTCTCAAGAGAAGAGGTGCCATGAAATTTTTTATAAAATTATATAAAAGACACATGTATTGGTTTTAAATCAAAGAGTGCTGTATATTGAAAAAAGAAGCATGTTATTAATAGTAAAAGGTTCAGAAAGAATCTCGTATTATTTTTATTCTTTTGTCTGTTTTATTACTCAGTCTTAAATTTTTTCTTCAAAAGATTTGTCACGAAATTCTGCATAAAACAGTATGTTTTAGTCAATAACTATACTTTTCTTCATCAGCTCAATGCTATATGATTGCACAATAACATTATGTATGATTCCTAAAATTCGTGTTTTTTCTAGTTTCGTTTTGATAAATATTTCCACCACCATATTTCTTTCCTTTTTTTCGGAAAAGAGTTTCATCACAGTACATACAACTAATCCTTTCAGATAACACTCATGAGCAAGTTCTAGCGCGAGTAAATAACTTAAAGTGAACAAAGAGAAAGACACAATAATACGACGATGATAATATTTGCGAAAAAAGCAAGCTAAAAAATGAAAATCATGGATATATTAGATCATATTATTGTTCAATTATATGACGTCAGAATGATGGAATAAAATATAACTGTTGCAAAAGCATCTTATTTTGTGTAAAATTCCTTGATATATCTCTTAGAGAAGAATGTTATGAC